TGAAGATGAAGGTTTGCTGAAGTTCAGCTTGATTTTGAAGCTGCAGAATGTGACCTTTTCCACCCACACTGCATAAAGATACGGAATAACTTGCTCAGTGCAAGGTAGGAGAATAATAACTTTTTGGAACAGACATTGCCATTACATCTACCTTGGAACATGAATCACTTGAATTACTCTCCAAACCATATATTTTCTCCAAGCACACTTTGGCCAAAAGAAGTAATGATTCACCAAGATTCTACATCTTGAGCACACTACTAAAACTCAGTTTGATTCAATAACGTGAAGTAATGATGTATTTGTGCAAAACTAAATCTGTGTGATATATTTCTAAAATCCAAGTTGCTTAGGTTTCAATTTGAATTCTACTTCACAGAAAACAAGTCAGTACAGACCTTAAAGTGTACTCGGGGGTGGTGGACCTGAACCATCTAAAACCTCACAACAAAAGGGAGGACAAGTTTGCTGGGCTATGGGGAGAGCGCGGAGGAGTGGGACTGATTTGGATAGCTCTTTTCAAAGATAATTCTATGATTCTATGAAAATTATCTCATACCCTGGAGTAGTGTACATTTGCCTGCCTCAAGTGCTGGATCATTGAATCCACCATTGGAATTAACCATCGGCAGTCAGGCCTTCAGCCTTTCTGCCCCCACCCTCTGGAACTCCATCCTTGAATCCCTTCACCATTGCCTCCTTGAAGGCCTGTCTCAATACCTTCCATTTGACTGTGCCTTTGGTCATCCTCTCATCCCCATCCCCCTTAAACCCCTTCCCTCTTGATTCCAACTCCCAACTCGGGGGCAAACACTTGGCTGTACAGCTCCTTGGGATGTCCTCTTGACATGAAAGGTGCTATATAAATGCAATTTGTTGTTGTTGTTAAGTCATCTCTGCTCTCTTTTAGCATGGGAAAGTTACAGGAGTTGTAATTCAGACAGTAACATGAGCAAAATGTGATAGCATCAATGCCAATTACTTTTTAGGGAGCCCTTGATTTTCTGTTTGTCACTATGGAAAGGATATCCAGTCAGTTTTCTATGCTGCAATTCCAATTCACCCCCACCATTTCCCAAATTACTTACATTTAGTTGGTGTTTTATGCAATTGACTATTCTAGTGCAATCTCTCCATTTCTCTGATTCTACATTCTTTATTCTGCTTCTCCATGTTTTCCAATCTCCTTCCTGGCGCCTGCAAAGTTTCTGCTATCCTTCTTTACTTTGAGTTCTTCATCTCATTCTAACAGTACTGTGGATTGACCTTTTCTAGCCTTTTCAGCTTTTGTGGCTTCAAACTCCCTTTTTTTTGCCTTGCATATTAGATGCTAGGTCTGTGCTGTCACTTGTCCCCATCCAATTTTAACTCAGCCAAACTTGATACAAACTTGATATTGTTCTATATTTTCAGTTTTATTACTTACTCAACGATTAGACAAATGCACATACAAAAATTGTTCCATCATCCCCCTACACACACAAGCGCACATATCAAAATATAAATACCAAGTGAATAAATGGTAAACACATTGTGTTGGAAACAAGACAGTAGCAAGAAAATAGAAAATACAGTGCTTCACTTAGCTGCCTGGGAGCCCAAGTTGAGGTTGAGTGAGCTAAAAGATGATTGAAAGCATAGTTATCATTATTATTATATTAAAAAAATGGAAAGAAAAAGGAAGGTCTTCAGGCCAATTTTAAAGATAGGGAAGTGATGAGGCAAAGAGACTCTGGATGTAGTTCCAGAGATCATGGGGACATGAAGGAAGATATGGAATGCTATGTCCCAGACAGTTGTAGAGGTTGGATCCATAAGGATGTTCTAAATCAAATGCTTTTGAAAGTTAACTCACTACGTAAATAAAATTATCCTCATCTCTTCTCTGGTTCTGTTGCCAATTATTGTGATTCTGTGTCATCTGATTACTGACCCACCTGCCAGAGGAAACAGTTTCTCCTTATTTACCCTATCAAAACCCCTCATAATTTTGAACACCTCTATTAAATCTTCTCTTAACCTTGTGCTGCGTTATTGGACGTGCCGTTCTTCAGATGAGACGCTAAACCAAGGCCCTGTCTGTGCCTGTTCAGGTGGATGTTAAAGATCCCACGACACTATCGGAAAAGAGAAGGGAGTTTCTCCCGGTGTTCTGGCCAACAATCTACAAAATAAAATTGGACTTTCACTCCATAACTGATTGTGGGACATGTTTCTGCGCAAATTGTCTACCATGTTTCGCCCACAAAATACTCAATCACTCCACTTTATAATATATACTGTGATGCACTTTGAGACATCCTCCTCACATGAAAGGCATTATACCAAATGCAAGAATTATTAGTATTATTAATAATAAATGTAGGGATCAATGAGAGTATTAATATTTACGTGACAAGGTGTTCCCCAGCAGTCTGCATTGGAGCCTCAGCTTTTCATCATAGATATAAATGATCTGGTTGAAGGAATAGAGTTTTATATCCAAATTTGCAGAAGACCCAAAGTTAGGAGGCACAGTAAATTGTGCAGATGGGAGCAGGAAGTTACAAAGAGACTTAGATTAAGTGAGTGGGCAAAATTGTGGCAGATGCAATTCAATGTGGGAAAGTGTGAGTTCATCCACTATGGATCCAAAAATAGAAAAACAGAATATTTTCTAAATGGTGAGATACTAAGAACTGTGGAAAAGCAAAGGAATGTGGGTGTCCACGTACACAAAATACTAAAAATAAAGGCACAGGTACAAAAGAGCTAATGGGATGTTGGCCTTTATCTCAAGGGGGCTGGAATATAAGAGAGGAAATGATACTTCAAGTACATAGAGCCTTGGTCAAACCCCATCTGGAGTACTCGTTCAGTTTTGGGCACTGCACCTCAGGAAAGATATACGGTAGAAACCTGGTTTTGTTTTAAATGTGAAAATGCCTTTATTTTAATGAGATTGCAAAATATGGTTGAATGTTCATCACCCTTGCCCATTACCAATGCCCTTAACATTATATCAGTGACCTGAGTCACTCAACCTGTTTCAATAATCAGGTCACCTCACTAACTAGGGTCACTTTTTCCCAGTCACTTGAGTGACCGGATTAGTGAGGTTCTGCTGTATTGGTTGTGTAGGGGCTGCAGTGCAGATTTACCAGAATGATACCAGCGCTTAAAGAATTAAATTATTAGGACAACAACCCCTTGCACTTACATAGCGCCCTCCACGCAGGATAGCATCTCAAGAGCGCTTAACAGTGGTGGAGCCTAACTCCCAGCACAGTCAAAGAAAAAGGTTTTCAAGTGGGACTTGAAAAAGGGGAGGGGGCAAGAGGCTGGTACCAGTCGAACGGAGGCACTGGGTGGTGGATTGGAGAATGAGGAGATCGGAGAGGTAGGGAGGTGCCAAAGAGTGAAGGGATTTGAACAAAACTGTGATGACCTTGAAGTCGATCCATTCAGTGATAGGGAGCCAATGGAGCCTGACCAGAACTGTGAGATGTGGGTACAGAGCTTGGTCTGGGTCAGTATACAGACGGCAGAGTTCTGAATGAGCTGGATCTTTTGGATGGTGGAGCTGGGGAGACCGACGAGGAGTGCGTTTGAGTAATCCAGGTGAGAGGTGAAAAACGCATGCACGAGGGTTTCAGCTGCATTTGGGGAAAGGTACGGTCGGAGGCGGGCAATGTGATGGTGGTGGAAGAAGGTGGTCCTGGTTAAGGACCCGATGTGGGGGAGGAAGGTCAGCTGGGGGTCGAACCGGATGCCTAGTTCGGTGAGCAGGAGTGAGAGCCCAGGGAGGTTGAGGAGTTCAGATCCCCATGAGTGAAGACGTTGACGGGAGCCAAGGAGTATAGCTTCCGTCTTGTCCACATTCAGCTGCAGGAAGTTTGCATTCATCCAGGCCCTGATATCTGCCAGACAAACTGACAGAACATCTGCCGACCTGGAGACGATACTGAAGGAGGCAAAGTAGATTTGTGTGCCATCCACATACATATGGAAGTTTACATGTGGATGACATTGCCCAGTGGAGCATATAAAGAAGAGGGCGAAGGATGGAGCTTTACATGAACGTGGTTTGTATTACCTTGAGTTTAAAAGGTCGAGGGGGTGATCTGATTCAGGTTTTTAAAATAATAAAGGGATTTGATAGGGTAGATACAGAGAAACTATTTCCTCTGGTAGGGGAATCCAGAACAAGGGGCATAATCTTAGAATTAGAGATAATGCTAGGCATTTAGTAATGAAATTAGGAGGCAGTTTTTCACCCAAGGGGTAGTAGAAATCTGGAATTCTCTACCCCAAAAGGCTGTGAATGCTGGATCGATTCACGTCTTCAAGACTGAGCTGGATAGATATTTGTCATTTTAGGGTGGAGTCCCGTAGCTCAGTGGTTCGAGCACTCACCTCGCAAGCGCGAGGCCCTGGGTTCGATTCCTGGCAGGGCGAAACGTTGGACAAGTTTCCTTACTCCAGACGCCTCTGTTTACCGAGCAGTAAATAGGAATCCGGTTGTGAGTTGATTGGCGGATCACTTCCCGGGGATAATAATTCCTTCAAAAAAAAATAATTTGGTCACTCAATCTGCGACTGTTTGTGGGACACTGCTGTGTGCAATTGGCTGCCGCGTTTCACCCAAAAAATATACAGTCAATTCACTTCACAGTCTATTCTGTGAAGCGCTTTGAGACGTCTCAGAGACGTGAAAAGCACTATATCAGATGCAAGGATTATTATTATTATTATTAAGGGATGCGGGACAAGGGCCGGTAATTGGAGATGAGGTACAGTAGGCCTTTCTATAGGATCAGCCGTGATCTTATTGAATGGTATAACAAGCTCGAGGGGCTGAATGGCCTCCTCCTGTTGGGGGGGGAGAGGTGAATGGCAGAGGTTGACCTAACCTGAAGGACACGTAAAGCCGCATTATATTGTGCGCATGAGCGATATGAAGCGACGCCCACTGGTACTTGTAGTTCCGCGGTCTGACTTCCCTGAAGCCGGACTACATTACCCGTGATCCCTCTGCGGCCGAGCGGTTTCCGGGTGCATCGTAACAGCTCCCGTACTCTCTCTACCGCGCTCATTTCCGCCAGGAAGCTCCGGAGGACAGAGAACGCAGGCGGATTCAAACTCGAACGGTCACCGGCAGCAATGTGGGGCGCTCGCGTGGCGCAGGGGCTGCGCAGCTTCAGCACCTCGGCCGTCGTCCGCGGCCACTACGCCGAGGGGCCCGGCAAGGTACGCGACTCTACCCCCGCCCTTCAGGCTGCCAGCCGCGGGCCTGAGGCCTGTAATGACCCCGAAAGCGGGCAAGCGAGGGGGTTAAGGAGAAAGCGCTGAGAGAGAGAGAGAGAACTATCGTCGTTCCCTTGAGCTGTGGGTTCGCCTGTATACAGAGACAGTCCATTAGAGGGTAATGGCGAGGAGCCCGCGGCTCCACACCCACTCTGCTCTCCCAGTCTGAGGTGAGGTGAAGCTGCCTGTCCTGGCCCCGCCACTCGCTTCCTTCGCTTATCAGAGGAGCGAGCGCTGGGCAGGTCAGGTCAGGGCAGGTCGCTGCCTGTTAACCTTCAGTTTCACCTCTGACCATCTGTCCTCACTTGAGTGAAGGTGATAATGGCGGAGAGGAGGATTCGGGTCAACGAGCAGTCTCCTCTGCTCTCACTTCTCCCTCTGCCTCCATTTTAAACGTTATGTGTTTGTCTGATGCCCGGTGTCTCGGCCTAGCCGGGGGGGTGCCTCTCGGCCTAGCCGGGGGCGCCTCTCGGCCTAGCCGGGGGGGTGCCTCTCGGCCTAGCCGGGGGTGCCTCTCGGCCTAGCCGGGGGGGGGCGCCTCTCGGCCTAGCCGGGGGCGCCTCTCGGCCTAGCCGGGGGAGTGCCTCTCGGCCTAGCCGGGGGTGCCTCTCGGCCTAGCCGGGGGGCCTCTCGGCCTAGCTGACGGGCTCCTGCCCTCTGTCTCTTCGCCGGTGAAGGGGAACCTGCTGCTCAAAATGGCCGCCGCGCTCGCCTCCACAGGCCAGTGATTACTGACTGTGCTGCGCTCTGAGTCGCTTGAGCTTTATAAAAGCAAGTCACACCTTTGCCCCTTGGCTCTTGTCCTTTTGTCGCGTTGTTCACTTGACCAAGTTTCCCCCCAGTGTCGCGGCCCAGTGTTGGTCTTGTCTGGCTGGTGTGGCTTTGAGCAAATGGCTATAAACCATTTTCACCTTTCCCAGTGATGTATCTGGTACACATGATGTGAACTTTATGTTTATGAGTTCCTCGATGACACTGTAAACGCTTACTGATGTACCAGAGCAAACGTTTATTTTTGCACTTGATGCTGGATGTCAATTTAAAATATTCTGCAGCAATTATTGTGCCGTACACAAATGTTTGATTTCAATTTAGACTTCGACAGGTTAAGTTTTGGGCTGTAGTAAACTTGGTTTATAATTCAATGAGTTGCTGTAGCCTCATTCTAACACAATAAGAGTTTAAAAAAACAAAATTGTTCTTTTAACATTCAGGATGGTTTCATGAGTTTTCTTTCAATTTTTCTTTTTTTTAAAAAAAACAGAATTTGCCTTTCTCTGTGGAGAACAAGTGGAAACTATTGGGAATGATGGTGATATTCTTCGGCAGTGGTTTTGCAGCTCCGTTCGTGTTAGTCAGACACCAACTGCTTAAAAAATGAATTCAGTAAGTGATGTGCAATTTTTTAACAAAGGGAACGTAATGCTTTCCCTGACCTGTAGGCATTGAAGAGGAGCTGTGTAATTTATCAACAACAACTGCCATTTATATAGCGCCCTTCACTCCGGATAGTGTCTGAGTGCTTAACAGTGACAGAGCTTCACACATTAACTCTGATCAGTGATATGTTAAATTAATAGATTTCACACTTCACAGGATGATTGTATGCTCATCTCATGGATTTGATTGAAACTAATCTATTTCATCTCTGTTAATGTTTCAGGAGGTATTCTCAATGTGAAAGACACTCTAAATTACAAAAAAAATTGAGGTCAGGATATAGATGTTATGCTGACATATATGCTAACAGTGTTCTGGAGGATAGTCCATGGCAATACAGGAACTGATACCTACCCATAAATGTCTCATCTGACATTGGATTAGGTATATAAGGGTGTGGTGGAATAATTTTGTGGAGGTTTAAATTTCATATGTGACACAGAAATGTTAAGATGTGTTCTGGAACCTAATTATTCACATATGTATTTGGTACATATGATGTGAACTTATCTTAATGTGTGCCTCGATGACACTGAACACTTGCTTGCTGATATACTAGAATACACAGATGCCACTTGATATTTCAAGTATCCTTTGTACATTCTTTTCAAATAAAATGTTGATTGTTAATCTGTGCTAGTAAGTCCCTCAGACACTGAGGATTGTGGTTTTTGTGGTTTATCAATGTGGCCAATTTGTAATTATCACAAAATCGTTTTTCACTGTGGGTCAACAATAAATGTTAGTTTGCATCCACTGTTAAGCTTCTATATCAACATCCCCTTGTATCCAGGAGATCATTAAAATATTCCAATTGGATTATAGACTTTGAGAATAGTCTAAAATGTGATTTGTAAACCGATTGTGCCACCTGGTTTCGCAATATTTGATTATAAAAAATGTATTGAGTTTTTGAATCCTATCCTTGTGATGATTGGCCTTTTTTAAATATCTTTGTTACCTTGAGATTTGCTGTTTGTGAATTTTGAAAACTGAAGTTGCAATTATTGTAACAAATCCAATTTGTGAATATTGTATTTCAAACCTCAGCAATACCTGCATGCTTCTCTTTTCTAAATTAGGTTTTATTTTCTCCCCAGGTGCACTTCCAGCTTGACAGGCAAGACATCTGCTAAGCAGTCTATATTTCCCATGTGAAAGTTAATATAAATCTTTTCTTTTCATGAGATGTATTGTAAATAAAGTATTACCTAATTGAAATATTTTCTTGTTTCTGTTGTGTACTTAAATGTATTACAGTAACCGAGGGCAAATTGTTATACTTTTCCATTTTATTCTCTTTCCCTAACCCCCTTTCTAGGAAATAGTTATGACTATGAGTTGAGTAGAACGAATCAGTCTGGCTCAATTCATAGCACTTGCCTCAGAGTCAGAAGGTTGTGGCTCAAGTCTCACACTTGAGAGTTGAGCTCATAGCCCTGACATGCAGGTTGAACTGTGTTGTTCAGCAGTTCTACTTTGGGTGGGGCCTCATTGACTTTTTTCCAGTGGATGTTAACAGTTCTGTAATTAGTTTGAAAATTTGTCAAACATCCTCCAAATTAATTGTGCGTACACCTCACTTTTGTGTTTGGGAGCCTGCTAGTGTGAAACATTTTCGACAATCTATGAAGAGCCTTAAGATAATTTGGTAATATAAAGCACTATAAAAAGTTGTCTTTAGAATGTGTAGTCAATATTTTCAAACTTTTTTTAGTACTAAAATTTTGTAGGTGAGATTTCTGTCGTTGGAGTAATAAAGGATAAAATGGAATTGAGGCCAAACTGAAATTGAATCTTTGAAAGATGTTTGGGTACTTAAATTTTCCAGGGTTGGGCCAAGCTCTATAGGTTTCTGACCTTAAAGTTCACTAAAACTTTTCAACGTGGTTTTGATAACGTGATCTATGAGCTTATCTTGAGATTTTGCTTGTCAGGGAAGGCCCATTTCTGCACCCACCAGAACAAAAATAGGCCAAATTATTTGAAAGTTTCTGAATGTGATGTTCAACAAGTTGTCATGGTCTCCAGAATGCAGTGGAGTGGGGAGTAAGCAAGTTGGAGAGATGGGGCGATTCCAAGGCATGAAGGAATTGGTAGGCTAATGTGAGTATCTTGAAGTTAATCCACTCTGATGGAGCCAGTGGATCGTGGCAACAACTGGTGTGATGGGAGTACAAAGTTTAGACGAGGTGAGCATATGGGTGTGGAGTTTTTAATTAGTTGAATTTTGTGGGTAGTGGAGCTGGGGAGACCGGAGAAGAAGGCATTGAAATACTTGAGGAGGGCGGGTGACGAAAGTGGGATTCAGCTGAATTGGGTTTTAAGCATGTGGCAGCATGCAATTTAAACATTTTGATTCAGTTTGGTTTTATTTTAAGCTGTTAACCCTTGGTGTCCAATGAGCATGTTTGAAATCTATCCACTTCCCTGTATGAGAGTAGTCAGTGAATTCAGATCTGAAATTCCTCTTGTGGGGTTGTGAATGGATTGTGGGATCAAGATCTCAATTATCCAAGATTAAGGAAAACAAAAAGTCAATTTATTGTAAGGTATTTAGTTCTCTGAGTTGCCTGTGACAATATAGTGCATTTGATATAGTGCATTTTCATGTCAATAGTCTGCTTCACCGGTAATTACTGTCGTGCTTTGAGTAGCATGGAGAGAATATCTTAAATAGACATTCTTTTATTTTGTCCTCTATGTGAGTGGGTACTAGTGAGCAGATGCTTTGTATTCTGTAGAAGTAAGTATTCCATGATGTGGAAAGAGCCCAGTTGACATTGGCAATAAACCATTGAGAACACAAAGTCTTGTTTAAATGCTGTTCCTTTTATATCTACGCTCTTAAATTATCTAGGGATTTGAAATGTTGCAACAAGCTAACGTTATCCTTTTCTGAGCCTCTGCTACTTTTTAAATAACTTCTAGTTATTCTTGTTATAATTGGCATTCAAACCATTGGTATCAACAACAACTTGCATTTATATAGAATCCTTCACCAGGGTAGCTTCTCTTTGTCATTTGCTCACACGCAAAATAACTTTAGAACTTTACTTTTACCAACTCCACTCCAAATAATAGCCACAAAGGCTGTGAGGTGCAGGTGACTCAGTTTTGCTCAGTGAAACACAGACGTCCTCCCGACATTGAAAGGTGCGATATCAATGTAAATTGTTTTCTTTACTAGTGTTATTTGGAAAATGATAATTCCAAAAATAGATTTCCAAGCTCAAAACATCTGTCATTGCAAAACTTTCTGATGTCAAGACATTTGTGTATAGACAGAATACCACTTCCAAGCATGTTGATGCCACAACATTTCATTGCAGAATCAGATCTCAAAATTTGTTTTCTAAAATTCGACACCAGGAAAAACACTATTTTACATTATAAGTTGGCTTCAGTTTTGTTTAGCGTCTTGAACAAGCTTTCAAAAATACTCGTTCACTGGGACATTGTGTACAAATTAGCTGCTACATTTGCTGACAAATGTAATCTACACTTGCCAGCAATTAATTGTACTACACTTTGAATGTTTCTGGGATATCTGAGCTTCTGCTAATACTCTCTCTTGAGAGTACAAGGAAAATCAAAAAATAAAGTAACTTCATCGGCCAACATTGCCAAGCTTTGAAGGTCAATACTAAAAACCCATAAACAAAGCATGTTCACCATGTTTGAGCCTCCATTTTTATTTATGAGTTACACTGAACATTCTTGTTTACTTTGCCTAAATAGTCACATCCTGTAGGAAAACTGATAAGGTCTTAGGTGCTTTCAGATACCTCTTTATTGCAAATATAATCACCCTTTCCTTTGACAAAAATCCAGAATTATCCTTTTATACTCTTCAAACATAGCACAAACGTGTTGCTATTTGTAAAGCATTATAACCTAGCCAGAGATTTGATTTATAAACATTTGATTTAAACACGTCATTTAGTTTTATGTGGTATTGATGATTTACAGGTCTAGTCTGCCCTCTTGACACTGCAGGAGCAAGTTCATGTAAGTTTTGCCATTGTACATACAACATTTATTCTTGAGATGCTAAATTATTTCATCCTTTATGATAAATTCCAATACTGTACCGACTAGTCATTTAGCTAACTGCCCTTTCATTTCCTGGATTAGTTGTATCTCCTTTTTTTCACAAATGGAAGTGACATTCATCACCCTTCAAATAGTCTTAAGTGAGTAGCTTTTTCACACTGATGTGCCACTGCTTCTCATTTCCCTCGGTGACAATCTGTTTTCCCTCAGTAGGTTGTTGTGATTCTCTTCTTTCCCCTCAATAACTCTACAAACTTCAGGTTTTCCCACCACCTGTAGAGATCCTAAACGGATGGATAGATACTTTGGGAGTAAAACTATTAAGGGGGTGGAGTAGGGGAAGTTGTAGGTCACAGGTCATGGAATGGTAGAGCTAAAGCGGCTCAATGGACAAATCACCTGTTCCTAATTTACTATTTCAGTTTAAGATATAACCATGCAGACCACCCTCCTTTATAAGATTTCAGCTGGAGACGATTATTTCTTGCATTTCATGCTGAGCTGTGTTGCCCACCAGGAAGCTTGCAGGGAGTTTCTGGTACCTGCTTCCACCAATTGATGGCTCAAACCAGCACTGTCGGTTCTCAAATTATCAACTAGTTACCATCCTCCTGAGGGGGTGGTGGAGGGGAGAGGAGTTAAATGAGGACTCCTTGGAGCTGAAACAGAATGTCAGGATCGAGCCACCCTCTGGTAGTCCTGATAATCTAGTTCCTGAGCCAGGCAGGCCTGCAGTACTGCAGGGCACTGCTGATGCCAGTACTGCCAACCTGGCTCATTGGCAGGACTTGGAAGGGCAGACCAGTCACTGGGGCCTCTTCCCACTCAGCACCTGTCAATTTGCCAATCAAAAACCTAGGTCCTAGCTGGACAAGCAGCAAGCTGTGAGAATTTAGATGATTAGACTCGAGCAATACTTTCCGGAAGCAGTAAGCAGGGTATGTCCCTGCTGGGAGAGAGTGAGCATCCCATTCCTACAAATGTATCTGGAATTTCCAAGTATAGGTGGGATGCATGGAACTTTCGGTTTGGGTTGGGATACTCGAGCAAGCTGATGGGTTTCTGTTTCCGCGTGTGTCAGACACCCGGCTGATCAAAAAAAGCATGCTATCAATTTGCTGAATTATGACTGGATTTGAGAATTTTCCACAATTCTATTTAACGTTAAATTTTAAGACAAAATGATCTTATAGGGTAAGACTAAATGGCATGTCAAGCATTGATTAGTATATTACAGAGACGGCAGCAAAGAATAACACATCAACCAGCAAAAAAAAAATCAGACATAGATTACTGGTCCTGAAAATAAACGACTCTTAATGAGATGAACCCAGAGTTTTATCCAATGTGTTTTCTAAACTAAATCCTAAACCCTAATTGTATACAATGCACATACAGAAAGTTAAAGCTGCACTGTTCATTTTATAAGCCTATAAAATTGTTTGCACTTCGAAAGAGTGGATAATACTCTTTTCAAGATTGTAGTACTTACCTTGTTTCCATTCATTTGTTTTAATATTATTGAAGTAGAGTACAGCTCCCTAAAGTTTACATTAATTTATTGAAAAATTGTCCCAAACAGATTTGCCATAGTTAGTTAAAAGAAATGAATACCGTGGGAATAGCAGATAGCTTTTCCTTTGCTTTATGGGACTGAACTCGTGTACTGCTTTTTTAATGGGAATGGAAGAAATAAACATTTTTACTCTGTTTAGTGAACAGATGAATTACTGTTGATTATAGAATTTATGACATAATAATAATCCTTGCATTTGTTATAGCGCTTTTCACGTCTTCTCGACATCTCAAAGCGCTTCACAGAATAGACTGTAAAGTGAATTGACCATATATTTGTGGGCCAAACACGGCTGTCAATTGCACACAGCAGTGTCCCATAAACAGTCATGGATTGAAAATGACCAATTAATTCTTGTTTTGTTTTGGAGGGATTATTATTAGGCGTGTGGACATTAACGAGAGCAACTGGTAATTATTTAACCTATAGTTTTTTGTTTCAGCATTATTTCAGCCTAACAGGACACAATCTATTTAGTTTGCTCAATTCTATAAATTAAAGACTGCAAGAGTTCCACTTAATGCATAGTAAATATGACTGTCAAAAGCAGTAATGATTAATGGAGACTACTGCACTTTAGTTTGTGTGG